CTGAACATGAAATTGCAAGACCTTATTTTTTTCATTAGCTTGCATTTGTAGATGAAGAGATTATCATTAATATACCTCCCAACAACACTAGGTCAAAACCTAGTATATGGCTGGACTGTGTATGAAACATTACAGGGCTTTTAATTTGAAAAAAGAAGTAGCAGCATTCACTTGGTCAAGGACTTTCACTCTAATTCTCATTTATAGTCCCCTAATGTAAAATAGATGCAGCCACTTAAACACTGTAAACATCACCACCCTTATACTTGCATGCATCTTTTATGTTGGCATATATACAGCCAATAGATGGCGCTAGAGGGCAGAGTGAAAAGTCTCTACAACAAACAAGGCAACACTGAAGGAGGTCATAATATTGTACCTTTAAACAGAGGCAGCATTACAGATGGTAGTGGTCTGTGTGGCCATTTAACGTTAGATCCCAACATATGGATGAAGAATTCTTTTTACTTACCAGTTCGCTAAGTTTTGCCATTATTTAAATTTATTTGTCGTCTCCTACTGTTATACCTCACTTGAACCACGCTGCCGCCACAATCTCCTGTAGTTCTTTTCTGTTTCGTTCATATCCTTAAGCTTTCAGAAAGCATGCACAAATACATAAGATGTGAACACAGAGTACGGACACAAGGCTCTGTCTGTTTCTGTCCACGTATCTAACGTGGACGCCCCGTTTCCACTTACGTGTGCGTATGGAGACGAGGCAGCCGGAAGTCCATCCATTCCTATGGGATTCTCCATGATATCCAATGTGCCTGTGAAACTCCTTCCCTCTGTAATATTTCGATTTGGAATTTGCCTCGAGTACGTTAAATTTTCTACTTTTGCGGTTGATTTCGGAGAGACCGCAGGACCGTTTAAGTGTGCTAGCTTAGCTAACAGGCTGCAAACTGGCTAACAGACTGTTTTCTTCAATTCATTTTCCTGGTGATTGTCAAGTGAGTTTGTCTGATGAAAAGAACTTGTTTATCTAGTTTTAACACATGATGACATCGATATGATGTATGATTATACATCATATCCAGTCAGATTGTCGTTACGACTCCTTAAGCCATTCATGCGTCATTTAAATTTGATATTTCACAAAACATGCCACGTACCTGGCAGGTCGTGTTTTTGTTCCGGTAGTGTTCCAAGTGAATATTCCAAACTATCGGATGGCGAAGAAGTGAAAAATTTAGCCTCTCCCTGTGGCTGCAGGTGGATTCTATCATTACTATCAATGGGTGAAGAAATGCAATTCCTTGCGTTGGACACTAGGGGTATCATCTGTATATTTACGGATCTACAGACACCAGTTCGCATATTTAAGGGAAACAAGGTGTAAATCTCGTCATCCACCATTGTCCCCAAAATTGCAGTCCAGTCAGAATCAGGGTTGAAAGTAAATTGAAGTTCTTGCTGGTACTAGTACCCCAACTTTCATTATTTCATATTGTTCTCCTCATGCCTCCAGCTTCATGCATCCCTGAACACTTGCAAATGACTTTAAACGCCTGTATGGTGTCGACAGAAATCAGAAATACTTGACATATTGTATACTAAATGATTTATTTGAATAGTCAAAGCGCCACAGAATGATATATGAATGTGAGAAAAATTTCAACTAAATTCATCAACAGCAGTTGAACAGTTCATAAGTCTCTGTCTGTAGATTTTCAGAACATTGGGCACATGAAAAGATGTTTTTCTAAGAGTAAAGTTTTTGAATATTTGGGTATGCTGCCCTGTACAACAGTAAATTTATTGACATTTTGCATTTTCCAACTTTATCGAACTGGTTTAGTCAGGCTGCCAGCCCTGCATGCTGCAGTCCAGTTAGAAAAAAATCACAAAAAGTTTAAATCCAACATTTACTTTGGAATCTAACCCTTCATTTTAGATATTTCTGTTGCACTGTGTACTCGCGGTTTGCTAAAAAACAAAATAATGATAAAGGTTGCAAAACAAGGTGTAGGAGTTCTTTATTTAGATGAGTCGCTTCTCTTGATTTATATGCGTTGGTAGCTGTATTGAGTATTTACAGATGATATTAAATGTCATATTGGCATCCAAGGTACTGTAAGAGTTGGCCTTGAAGACACCTAAGGTTCAAAGTCCTCTCACGCACCATTCCCAACTCAGTCCTACATCCAACATAATGTGAACAGCGCTGCTGGTGTGAGGAGCTATTAATTTTACTCAGAATGAAATCAATAGAATCGAGCTCCCTTTGGAAGCTGGATTGCATTGTATCTGGAGCACCTTATTGCACCAATTCGGCCCAAAAGTAAACAAAACATTAAAATGAAGAAAAATCTTAATTCAATACAAGCCTTGTTCGTCTATTCATTTCACAAACGTTTTCTGATTTATTCGAGCGCTCCATTGATCTCATTGTAAACAGGCTTCAGTGTATTCATAGAGCCTTCTTTGTGATGAAAAGTTTTTTTTCATTCAGAAGTGTTGTTCTTGTTAAACTTACTTACTGAGCCTCCCTCGTCTTTACAGATCCTTCAAAGGCTCTTTTCGGTGTGTAAGGAAAGGAAATGTACTGATCACTGCATGCATTATTGTGAGACAAAATCATATCTAACCGTACAGTTCATGAATGCGGCACTATTCATGAATGTCAGACTTTAAATACCTGTTTTGCAAACCTACCACCCCTTCCTCCTTTTATCCTTCCTCTGCCTCACATACCTTCTGGCTTCTCCTTGCCATAATTATTCATTCATTCAGCTCTCTCATTGCATGCACATTGGCTAAGAGGTGCTGTAATCAGTTTTTTGATGGAAGGCATTTTCCCCTGTAATCCAACAGAGCATATGCCAGGTCTCACTCTGGGTCTTTTCATATGGGAGCAGAAGAGGCTGTGCCTCTGGAGGCTTAGCATTCTTAATCTGAATGGCTTTTTGCATTTCCTGCTGTCACTGTCAACACTCCATGCCTCCTCTACAAAGTGCCACACAAAGCAGAGAGTGTTTGAGGTGCATTCCAAAGCTTCTTTTTTTAACCCACAGGTTCTCAGTGCTGTATGAGCTTCTTTCTGCTCAAAGTGTGCTGCTGATATTGTAATAGAGCCTTAATAAGTGACTTCTCCACTTAAGTAATCATTTAGCTAATAAGACCAAGAGTCAGCAGCCATGCGCACAGCTCTGTGAGGCTGTACTGAGGCATGATGGTGCTTTGAGCTGAATCAAACATCAGCATGCTAACACCTCCACAATTACAACACTAACATGTTGATGTTTAGCAGGTGCAGTGAAAACCGCTTAGAGGGATCACGGTTACAGTGATCAGCCATTTATATGGATTAAAAAGCTTCAGACAGAAACACCCTCTCAGATATGCTGTTTGTATCATTTGCTTATAGCAGGGATACTCAACTTGCTTTGCCTGGGGGCCACATTCGCAAAATGACAGGAGGCCTGGGACCAGTATAAACATACTTTAGAAGTATATAACTGTACGTATGTTAAATGTATTGCCTGTTAATTTTTTGACGTTTGCTGTCCTCACTCATCTTTGCCAGGATGCAAGAGCAGCCCTGCACAAGTGAGTTTAACACAGGGTACACATTGTAGGATTTGAGGACATTTGGGAAAGCCCGGACTTCTGTTGGGAGGTCTGGGGGATCCTCCACTGGCACTCTGTTGGATACCACACACTATTTGGATGCTTTTTTATACACCATGACACCTTATTTACATTCAAAGACAAAAATAATCCCAGTGTGAATCAGTTTATTTTCATTGTGAATTAGAAAGTGGTAGGCGCGCCACCCGGCACCCTATTGTGAGCCAAATCTGTTGAGTATCACTGGTTTATAGTATTCAAGAAGTCCTCTGACAGGGTTCATTTTGGGTCTTTTCATACATGACAAACATATGAAAAAAAAGCAGTAATTCTGTTTTTCTTTTAGCTTAACCCCCACCGTGATACTTTGCCTCACTGTAACCCGTCTGCTTCCAGCTGGCTACCTGAGGCTGGTGCTGCGTGCTTTGAAATCATGACGGGAAAAATAAAGTAATTTTCTCTCAATGAAAGTAGTCTCCTAGAAGCGAATGGCTGCTAGTGATGGAGACATAACAACAAAGGTACACAGGCAAAGCACCTGTGATTGAAGCTGCCCTCGTTATGTGGGATGATAATGCTGATCATGTAATGAAACAGCCATACTGTATTTTGAGTAAGGTGATAATCTGCATGAGACATAGAGAAAAATAAAGAAAAAGGAAAAAAATGGTTATAATAATCATTCACTAATAGTAGGGCTGGGCGATATAACGACTATGTACGTTATATCGGTATATTTTCAAGCAAGATATAGATTTAGACAGTCGATGTAGGGCCCTAATTTATAGTGATCATCTTGACCAGGACAGATGTGTTTACTATATGCGCCTTCTGCTAATGTTTACCATCTTTGCAGGTATTTGGTAATAAAACAAAATATAAGACAAATTGAGAAGTTGAGATATTTTACGCAAAACCACACATATCAGGAGAAGCAGTTGAGATATATGTGTCGGCATCAAAGTGGTGGACTGGATGATGCTGCTAACACGGCTCCAAATGAATTCAACTTTGCATTTAGTTGTTCTTTTGACGAGTTATGACTGTTCCTAAACTTTTACTGGAGCACTCCGGGCTGAAATTGCTATAATAAACACACACTGAATAAACAATGCTGCTCTTGCATATTGCAGTCCACATATTGGAGACTGTCATCACACTGATGGCATGCATGACTGTCAAATCATTAATATTGCCTTGCTGCCATGTACTTATTTGCAAAAGGCTGAGGTAGCAGAGAAGACACGGCTAACAGGCGTCTGTTTTTGCTTTTTAAATGGAAACAAAGTAGCTGCAACAACATTAATGATGTCTCCAACTGTCAGAAATATCTCATGTTTTAGTTTGGCTTTATTTGTGAAGTGTGGATAGATACTACTCCTAGCTATTAGTGTGTGTTGTTGATGCCACAGTTCTGTATTCAGCTCTCCAGACTCTACCTGCCTGCTCCTGCTGCTGCCACACATCACTTCAGGAAACTGATGAACTGTACCAACCTCAGATTAACCTCCAACCCTGTCTTTCTTTTTCTGCAGTCCCAGGCCATCACTGGAGGTGAGTCATGCACTCACACGCTTGGCACATGGGAACGAGAACGCACGCACACACCTACCTACCTACACACACTCTCACTCACACACACGCACAAACACAGTGAAGTGAAGTGCTCATTGACAGGGTTATAGAGAGGTTTAAAATCCACCTGCCCTCCACTGTCAGACGGGCCCTGCTAAGTCTAAAGTTTAACAGACTCAGACAGTCTGAGCTCTTGAAGCAGCTGGAAAAATATTTTAGAACATTCAGGTGTAAGCTCTTTTAATTCTCTCCAATAGAAATATCATCTGAAACCATTCCGATGCTTCATAAAAAGACAAGTATTTCTTTATTTGACTTCCCAAGGTATCAAATAGGGCGGCCTGGTCAGTGGGCCTTGGCTTCTGTTAGTGACACACAAGACACCTCCTAGCTGGCGCCCAGCGTCAATATGATGTCAGAAAGACATTGCACTCTTACGTCAAATAGATGTTAAATTCTGATTGGAATCATAATCAGGTTGACAATATTTTAAATGTCCAGCGTTAGAATTTCATGTTGTATGGGTGTTAATATTGTGACTTTTGCAGATGTGGGGTTTTGTTTTCCACACCTTCCGACTAAATGTTGTGACCCTACGTCAGAATGATGGTATGAGATGCTTGGAAGACATTCGATTTTGGTTACTTAACAACTTCAAACCAACAAAACATCAGCGTTATCTGTTGTCAGTATTCTAAGTCAAACAGACGTTGGCATTAGACGTTGTTCAGGCATTGAATTTTGCTCATCTGATGTTATAACCTAAATGTAACCAAATAGCAATGTTTAACATCTTTGGTGGCTAGCTGGCTTCAAATGTCTAAGAGAAGCACCAGGCTTTCAGCAAAACCCAATATATTCCTGTCTGCAGCAATAATATGGTAGAAAGAGTGAGAAAGTCAGAGAGGGGTGGAAGGGAGTGGAGGTGGATGGGTCAAAAACACACAGGACATTCATCCAGGAGATCAGTGTTCATGTTCATTGTGAAACCAGAAGTCAACTTTAAGTTTTTTCCACCATGTACGATAGTTACTGGCGCATGTCACATGAAATAGTCTAGTGACATACTCGTCAACTTACTGTAACAAATGTAATTATTTAAACCCAAACCATGACTGTTTTTATGCCTCCGCTCTGGCAATAGCTGTGACGAGAGGCCTTATGTTTTCAGGTTGTCCGTCTGTCTCCGTCCCATTCTTGTGAAGGCAGTATCTCAAGAATGCCTTGAAAGAATTTCTCCGCCTGGACTCAACAATGAACTGATTAGAAATTGGTGGTCGAAGGTCATGATCACTGTGATCTTGAGTTTGTCTCATTCTTGTGAATTTGATATCTCAAAAAGGCCTTGAGGGAATTTCCTTAAATTTGGCATAAATGGTAACTTGGGCTCAAGGATGAAGTGATCGGATTCTGGTGGTCACAGGTCTCTGTGACCTGGAAACAAAATATGTTTTTGGCCAGGGCACACTCTGTATGGCTTTGGTGGATAAATAGATCCGTCAGTAATTAATATCCCAAAATCTGGGTTGCATAATATAAGTTTATATTTAAGTTGTCTTGACAACATATCATCTAGGTCACATAATATTAGGTTATTTAATATGCTGTTAAAGATTTTTTTTAAATTTACTTGGCATATTTCCTACTGGACATTTTGGCCATTGATATTTTCATTTTCCAGGCAACTAAATGTGCTAACAGCATATGTGAGCTGACATAAACCCTCGTAGAAAACTGATGCTAGAGGGGTACCTAGAGAGTCCGTTTTTTAAGTGTAGGGCCACTGACTATGTTGCCGTATTTGATGACTTGGGAGTGAGAATGTGTTGGACTTTGAGGTAACTTAAAAATGTTATTGGGCACTTCAGTGTCTTGCTTAGGACACTTCAGCAGGGCAAATGCTTTCTCACACTGGAACCTCAACCTGGGTCCAAAAAATTAAAGCACAGTTTCTGTATCCATAATATCTCTTCGCAATTTTGATAAAATCTACTTTTGGCTAGGACGACTGAGGAGTGACTGACTGTGACGGTGTGATAATACACACACAAATACATTTTACTCAGGTTTAAATATGCATAAACCTAAACTAATTGAGTAAAAGTAGAGACTTTTAAGATTATGATCACTACCCACATCTCCTGTGAGAATGAAGATCAGTGAAGAATCAGTGTTGGCAGTGCAATCTGTGGTTTGTGTGTTAGCATAGATCATTAACTGTGTTCCCTTAGGGGATAAACAAAATATCACATTCTTATGACTGCATGCATGGCATTCAGATGAATGTATTCATTATTTGCTTCTAGATTCTGTATTATTTCCAACTATGTTTTCGTACTCATTTAATCCTAATGCAGCTGTAGTTTATAATATCCTTGTTTAAATCATTATCCAAGGAAGCTCATGCACTCCTTTAACTGCACTGATGAGTGAGAGACACAGTGTCTACTGAGGCTTAAAAAGCAGAGTTTTGGCAATGGACTTGAGCTTCTGAGTGATCATTTATCTTCAGATTTTCTATTTTTAGGACAGATATCAGTTTCTAGGAGTGGATAGAAACAGGGAAAAGTTAAACTTGCTTCAGTCCAATTTTGTGGCACTTTAGCAGCAATGTGGTGAATCAGAATTTGATTATCAACTCAAGACTTTTGCTTCTTGTGTACTGTTTGTGGATTACATACTTGTAGAGTCAACGTGGAAAGGGCTTCCACCACATTTATAATATAAATTCTGTTGAGTTTATTAGGTACATGTGGCTTTGAACTGATTCAGTCTAATACAACAATTCTGCAATAAAGTAACTTTATTAATATTCTAATGATCATTCTTTATTAACCATTTCAGAGAGGCAGCAAGTCAATTTTACATACATATCCCAGTTTCCCAAATTTGCCTCAGGGGGCTTCGAGGTGTTCATTTTACTGTATGTTCTTTTTGGAGGATGTAGTTTGCTGTGCCATGTATTACATATTTCTACTTTTTTGCCTATCCTATTTCGGGCTGGGCGATATGGAGAAACTAAATATCACAACATTTTTAACCAAATACCTCTATATTAATATTGTGAAGATATTGGAGGATTGACTGTTGGCGCTTTCACAAAATATTTACACAATGAGATTTTTGATAAATAATCATCAGTAATGTGGATATAGTGACTAAGTGGGGAAAGACAAACAATAGAACAGCTAGAGCAGTCTAGTAAGTTCAGAAAATTACATCACTTTACTGTAATGCAGCCTTTAATACCAGGAAAAGACAACACTAATGATATAACGATATTCAAAATCTGATGATAATCATAATAATGATAACAATACATTTTATTTGCAGAGTGCTTTTCATGGTCCTCAAATACACTTTACATTAGTTAAAAACAATCGTAATATAGAATACAGCAAAATACACACAGCATCATTTACACATTAAAAGCCAGTTTTCTCTCATTTGTAGACATTTTCAGTTGCTACCCTTCTTCTATAAGTTAGCTGCTAACTGCTACAAGCTGCTTTTTAAATATCCTAAAGGGGGGTCACACACATAACATGTAGTGGAAACATCACGTTCTTCCCATCCTGCTGCCGCACACTTTTTACACAGACAGTGATTTGATTCTAGTATTACCTCCACTGCCGGCTTACAGTCGAAACAACTCTGTCCCCCCACTCCATGTTTGTACCTTTTATTGAGAACAGCGAGACGGAATAACGGCACAACATTCCCACCCTGAACAGCATGTGTAAAAGGGGCTACAAATATAAATTCGGTGTTGCCTCAAAGGTGAAAATTTAGTCAGCTGCTGTTTGTTTGCTGAGTGGCAGAAAACAACAAATATGTGTTATAACATGGCAGAGTTTGTTTACTTCTTGTTTTGGTCGGATAAAACCAATGAATAGTGTATTCTATGACATACTGAAAAGTAGCAAAGTAACACACATAAAGAAAGTCAGCCCAATGACTGAGCACTGCATGGCTAAGGTTAATTAACTCTAGCAAACATTAACCTCAAGACTTTAAAATAATAATACCAAAACAAAGAGAGCTACCTTGAATGGCAAAGTGCCATTTCTCAATTCAGAAGTTCCATTAGCTCTCTTTAAATTATGTACCACAAAAAATATACTAAAAGCCATTAGAACTAGATGTTCATTACAGCTGCTTGTACTTGAAATCTCAGTCACCATCAAGTCAAGTCATTGTATTAAAATTAAATGGAAAATTATTGAGCCAAACCCCAATGCTCACAGACTTAGTTACTCTTAAGCGTGACACTTTCAAACCTGACTAGTAAACTGTAATAGGGATAGTGTTTGATGGCTTTGAATGAAATATTCTCTTTATCTGCTTTATGTTTCAAGGTTCACCTTTGCTGGTTTCATCTGAACCTTGAGTCTGCTCCTTTGTTGCAGTTCAGTAGTTACAAGCCAACACTTCTGCCAAATGAATGATAGGATAGACACCCCTTTTTCGTGCAGGAAACCATCGCACTCAGAGATGAGTAGATAACCTTCACACAACAAAGGTGATTCTGAACTTCAAAGACGTGCGCTGAGTGCTGGGTTTCACACATGAGGCAGGTATTTTCAGGCTCTAAGTAACCCATGTGGATTTACATTTTATTTGTTGATGCTGTCATTTTACCTCTGGAGAATTCCAAAGGTAAATGCTAAAAACATTCCTCAAGGACACCGTCAGGTAGTTAAACTGAGCCAACATGCAATAAGCCGAGACATGAAATGAGATTAGAGCAACTTTATAATTGTCCCCCGCAATGAAATCAGGAGAGAGACTATAGATCGACCCTGGTCTGTCCATCCAAATGTCACGCGCAATATCTGGGATGCCAGTGATTGGATTTTAATAAAACGTTGCTTGGGCGGAAAGGATGATGACTGTCATTGCTTCATTGTGGCATTTTACAAATTACACTGATTAGCCAAAGTGGAGCAGTACAACAATTACATGATATTCACATGGAC